TTTATGTTTTGATTTTTTTTTTTTTTTGGTGTTTTTGAGACAGGTCTTATTATGCAGCCCAGGCTGGCCTTGAACCTATGATGATCCTCCTGTCTCAGTCTCCTGAATGCTGGGATTACAGGTGTGTACCACCATGCTCAGCTATTTTTTTCTCTTTTAAATTTTCTTGCCACTTTCTATAGCAGTTCCAGAAATCCTCTTTTGTGTCTTTGTGAGATGTGATTTTTTTTAAAAAAATCAAAACTGTGAATGCAGCTGTCGAGTGCCATCCTGTAAAAAACATGACAAATGTATCCTCATTTACCTTATTCACTGGATCTGGCCCTGTGTGACTTCTGGCTTTTCCCCAAAGTCAAAATGACCAAGAAAGGTAAACCTTCTGACATCAGGCAGGCAAGACAATGCAACTAAAGATACTCATGAAAGAGGATCCAGAACTGCTTCAGAAAGTGGCCAGAAGATGAGGTGTGTTCAAAGTGAGGAGTATTCTGAGGGAGGTTAATGGCAATGTGTCTTTTACTGTAATTAAAAAAAAAAATTTAAATATTCAACATATTTTTGATCACCGATTGTATATTGTGTAAAATGAGTTCATTTCTACCAGTCAAACATATAATTTATAAGAAAAAAAACCTGGTAGGATACTATAGCAAAAATATTATGAGTGCTGATTCCTGCAGGAGCATGAGAAATCCTCACTTTGTATATTACATATTTCCTTGATGCTTGAATTTAGAGAAAACCAGTACAGATGTTTTTAAAAATGTTGTTGTGATTCCCAGAACTGCCACACACACAAAAAATGTATTTGTGGCAGGAGTGCTCATTTCTGCAAGACTGCTTCCTAATGAAGTGCCATTCAGAAGTTTGCTGGTTGTCACCCTTCATGACACTCGGGATGTCGGTCAGTGGAGGATCCTGCAGAGCTGTGTCAGGCCGGGGTTGTTGAGCTTGTCAGGCAAGATGTGTGTCAGTGAGTCACGGTCTCCAGGACCACATTGCGTGAGGAGTTAGATAAACAAACCCTTCCTCCTGCAGAGGTGGAGAAGCGCCCCGTCCACGCCTGCCTAACTTCACCTTGCAGGTGGTTGCCGGACCAAGTGCTTCCTTCCACCCATCTTCCTTACACCATGTGTGCTCTCTGCACCGAGGGTGGGGGAACTGACCGTAGACAAACTGTGTTATAAAAATCGACAAAGTGATGTCAACTACAGTGGTAAGGGGCTCCAGAAATTCTTCCCTCTGTGAGGGCAGTGAGAAAACTGCTCTGGACTGAAGCAGACAGGTGCCTGGCATCCCCAGCCTCCTGGATCCACTGTTCCATCCTCGGGTGCCTGGGGTGTGTGGAGGTCGAGTGCTTCGGGCATCCCCAGCTCAGGGTCAGCTGACACAGTGGCCTTCCCTCCTCCTCCAGTGTAGGACCCCGTGGATGGGCTTCCTGTGGCCCTGTCTCTATCCCTGAGGCTGAAGGGTGCTGGCTGTGAGCCCTCCCTGGGTGAGCTGGGTGAGCTGCATCTTCCCACTGCTGCCCCGGCTGGATGGCATGCCTCTACCTGAAACCCCTCTGGATCAAACTAGCCCACTGCCTCCTGTTGCCAGAGTAACACCACAAGTTAAGGTGGCTGTCAGCTTTTTGTCACTGTGACAAAAACCTAAGAAAATCAACCGAAAGATTTCAGTCCACGGTCACTTGGCTCCACTGTTCTGGCACAGGCTGAGGCTGAACAGCGGGGCAGGGGGCCAGGTCCCAGGTCCTCCTCCTTCCAGGCCACACCCTCGACCTACTTCTTGCCTGGCTCCTAAATTCCTTAAACCTCCACCAGGGCTGCCTGAGGACCAAGCTCTACCTGGGGATGGTTACACCCCTTATATACCCGGTTGGAGCGCCACACAGCACAGTGCTTCTGCTTCCTGAAGTTTCTAATATTCATCCTGTTTCACTGGTGGGTCTGTATTATTTGAGGCAGATCTCTGCAGCTGTAAAAACTCAATGAGTATAAAGCTTTTTTTTTTTTTTTTTGGTACCAGGGATTGAACTCAGGTCCTTGTGCTTGCAAGGCAAGTGACAGAACCACTGAGCTAAATCCCCGGCCCTGAGTATAAAGCTTTTTAACAAAGGAAAAATTAACATTCCCCAGGTAAGCAAAAATGAAGAGCATTCCCGAAAAACTGGACCTGACCTACAGGGAACTCTTAATAGCCTTTCAGGAGGAAGGACTCCAGGGGCTAATTCAAACTTACAAAAGAGCACCACATAAAGATGGGCAAACAGAAGAGGCAGGAGAAATGTGTTTTTGTTTGTACTTCTTTTTCTTCCTTACCATTTAAAAGACAAGTGGACAAAGCAGTAAGTACAGGTCACTGTAGATTGGTATGTCATGCACAGATGAAATCTGTATGAATGTAAGAGCAGAATGGAGTTACAACAACAAGGTTTTTGATTACTACTGAAATTACAGCTGGGTGTGATAGTGTATGCCTGTAATCTCAGCACTTAGGAGGCTGGGACAGGAAGATCGACGTGGAGGCCAGCCTGGACTACACAGTGAGTTCAAGGCCAGCCTGAACTAAAAAGCAAGACCCTGTCTGAAAAAAACAAGAGCTGGGCATGGTGGCACAAACTTGTATCCCGGCACTTGGGAGGCTGAGGAAGGATTGTTGCAAGTTTGAGGTCAGCCTGAGCTACACAGTGAGTTCAAACCCAGCCTAGACTACATAGCAAGACCTTGTTTTTAAAAAACAAAACAGAACAAAAGAAAGCAAAAAGACAAAAGACAACTGATAGAACATATTTGTAAACCATGTATCTGATAGGGTCAATATCTAAAAAGACCCTGACAAAGCAACAATTAAAAACAGGAAAAGGGTTTGAATAGAGAGAAAGAAAATGAAGTCTTTTAACTGCTGTCTGGGGCCCTTGGGTGTAGGGGAAGGAAGTGGCCTGCAGGAGATGCTGTTGTTCATCCTGGCTCTGGACCAGTGTCTTCTCCCAGGGGCGACTGCTCCCCACTCATCCCAGCTTGCTCACTCACTCAGCAGAGCCAGGACACGGCCAACTATCCCACAGGGCACAGGACAGCCCACCATGAGGAAGAGCCCTTAGCCCAGAACGCCAGTGCCTGCTGAGGAACTGTTTAAAGTCTAAGTCTGGTAAAATACAGACACAAAGCCAGTAAGTTATCTGCAAAAAAATGGAAAACCGTAACACATACTGCAAAGTGAACAAAAAAGAACAAAACTCCATTTTTGCAGTCCAGGGCTCTGTGCTCTGGCTACCTCAGTGAACAGCAGGGCTAAGGAGCCGGCAAGGGACGCTCTGGAAATGGGATGCCAGGCTTTGTCTTTTTTTTTTTTTTGGTACTGGGGATCAAACCCAGGGCAAGGCAGGTGCAGCACCACTGGCCAGGCTTTTTTTTTGGTACTGGGGACTGAACTTGGGACCTTGCGCTGGTGAGGCAGATGGCAGCACTACTGAGCTAAATCCCCGGCCCTGGACAGGCTTGTTTAAAAGTAAACCACCATGCTCACAACTGAGCTGCCACAGCACTCCTACAAACAGAATGGAAGCTTTACTTTCACCTGAGTGGGCTTGATGAACCAGGGCACTTAGGCTAGCTTTGGGTTCATAAACAACAGGTACTTTTCAGGTGCTACTTAAATCATCAGTGGCCATTTCAGAAGCAATTAACTTTAGAGCTCTACAAGTTTGGATTTTTGAAATTAAGTAAGAAAAGTTCATTTAGCCAAAGAATAATTGACTGGGATCTTCTAACTGAATAGGAACTAGTCCCAAACACCAGCACTGCACAATCCTTATAGAATCTCCAAACTTGGCAGCTAAGCAACTTGTAGGAACTAGTCTAAGCTGGGCATGGTGGAGCATGCCTGTAATTCCAGCACTCCGGAGGCTGAGGTAGGAGGATCACGAATTTGAGGCCAGCCTGGACTACAGTGAGACCCTGTCTCAAAAAAAAACAACAACAAAAAAACAAGGAACTAGATAGAACACAGACTCTGTGGCTGAATTATTTCAAACAAAACTTTCTTCACATAAAAGGTACTAGATGGGCATGGTGTGCACACTTGCAGTCCCAGCACTTGGGAGGTTGAGGCAGGAGGATCGCTGTGAACACACCCCCTCCACCCCCAAGAACTATAAGGTAGTCCAACATACCTGCAGGAAACATTAGAGACCCTTTGAAGAACAGCCTGACGTTTAGCAAAGGGCAGAACTAGGAATTAGGTTTGAGCAGCTTACATTATGGTGGAGGGAAATTTAGAGGCCACTGTGAACCTGTGGTTTTGTCATTTACTAAGAGGTGTCAAATATAAAAACAGAAAAGAAACAAAAGCTCTGGAAAAGGTAGACTTTTAATAACTGTTCTTATCACCAGGCTGTCATGCAGTTACAAAGTGGTTAGAAATTTCTGAAACGGCATTGTTAAAAAAAACAAAGGTGCTCATCTTTACATAAATAATATCTAGTACTCCATTGGGACACTACAGTTCAAAGGGCCCTGGCCAAGTAATTCCCCAAACAAAACAGTCCTCCAGGCGTATCAGCCTGCTGTGAAGGGGGCAGGTGCAGAATGCAGAAATTGAGGCCAGGCTGGGGCCCTGTGGTGTTTAGAGCCAGTCAGACTCCAAACAGGGAGCCCAAGTGGTCTTTTCTGGGACACTCCACTTGAATTATGGTTCAGTTAGTCAACACAATAGGTCTTCAAAGGGGAGGAATGATTAATTACTCTGATAAGGAGGTTACTGCATTCTTTGGACTATGTGTCATAATTGTAGTTAGCAAATTCTGATTGTTAACAAAAATAGCCTCCATGGCTGCAGGTATGAAGACAGCTCAACGGGCTCTGTAGTTCCTGCTGAACAATACATGACTGATAACCTATAAATGATACTGCTTTGTTATAAAAATACTAGCTTTCTTCATTTACTATATAGGTATTCACTGCTTGAGTCAAGGCTAGGCTTGTTAAGTGATTAAAGGCAATTTTATTACAGCAGCATGTACTTATTTTATTCTAAAAGAATAAAATGCGCAAGAGGAAAAGCTATTTTTCTTTGCAACTTGTAAAACTGAGTCATTTTGTTGATGTGAAATACCAGTAACTCACTCGAGGACCATGCCACCTTCTGAAAATGCCATGCACTACATCTTATGTGTGTCAAAGCTGTATCTCCTGTGTACTTGCCTGGAGTAGCACTGCAGCACTAAGCCATTGTTTCGACTGCCTTTCTAGTCAGCACTGGCCAGGCTGGGAGCCCTGGA